CCGTGGGCTCGAGTCGTTTATTCCGGGCACATTTTCGGTCCGGGATGATTTTATTTATGATGGGTTTCTATATATTTCGGTAAAAAAATAAGAAATAGGGACAATTTTGTTTTTTTTGGTGGGAAAATATTTTGACCTCAGACAAAAAAACAGGAGTACTTCGTTTTTATTCCAGATACAATACAGGGTGAGTCTTGTATAAGTGTAAATAATTTTAGGGGTTGTATATTTCGATCCCAGAAAAATGTCTATGAGTTTTTTTCATGAAAAAAATTGAATATTGTATTTTTGGAAAACATTTTTGACAATTATTATTAAATTTTCAGTTAAAAAACAGCAATATCTCGGTAACATTGCAAAATAGTTAATATAGATTAAATTTAGAAAAAGAAAAAAAAAATGAAAAAAAAACAGTGGTTTTTAAAATTTAAGCAAAATTTGTGGCCCGAACTGTATTCGGAAACTCCGGCAGCATATTCTGCAGATAAAAATAAGTAAAAAAGTTCGTATAAATGTATGTTCTAAAATGCTTAGTTTCGGAGATACAGGGTGTAGAAATTTCATTTTTATTTCGATTTTTTCCAAATAAGTTCTGAAGTAACGTCAATATTTGAATGAGAATTGGTATCTGGGAGTTTTTTGGAGATGAGAAAATTGATTTTGATGACTCCTACATTTAGAGGGCGCCACCTACATATTTTTAACTGGTTTGAAGACTAATAACTTTTCGTCCGTGCCTGTATAAAACTATTGAGTAAAAAAATATACATTTACGACGTTTTTTACGTAAAAAAGATCTCTTGGTAAAAATCGCTACGAGCAACCGTTCTCCAGATATTTAGGATGAAAATAGTCAATAATATCATTATTGCCAAAAACTAAACATAATTTGTTGAGGTTGAGTAGATAGATAGTTATTTAACTGAAATGATAATTTTGAGAAATATTTATTTTTTAAATTAATCATAAATTTTTCTTTGAAAAAAATGATGATAAAACAGTTTCTGTTGAACTTTTGGCACAAAAATATTTCAAATTTATGGTTTCAGTCTAATAACTATTTAGTAAACATGTTTGTGTCAATGATGACAGGTATTGATAATTTCGATTCCAAATATCTCGAGAACCATTGCTCGTAGCGATTTTTACCAAGAGTCCTTTTTTACGTAGAAAACTACAAAAAAGTACATTTTTTTACTCAGAAGCTTTATACAGGTACGGACGAAAAGTTATTAGTCTTCAAACAAGTAAAAAAATATGTAGGTGGCCCCCTCTACAAGTAAGAGTCATATTCATTGCCTGGAAACTTATATGCTAAAATTTTGATAAAATAATTTAGTACTCACTAAAAACACGGTACGTCGCTAGTGGTAGGAAAAATAATTTTTAGAGGTTACTAGTTTATTTGGTTGCCTGTGATATGCATGTACAGGGTGTTTCCTAATTAATCTAAAAAATAAAAAATCGTTAGAAAACGGCTTAAGGCGGGCTCTTAATAAGTATATTTATTTTTTTCTCGGCAACCGTTTGATGAACAAGAAAAAATCAAAAGATCAATTTTGTTGAAAAAGGATGGCCAGTCAAGAAAAAAAATATTTTTTCTTTAAAAAAGCAGTAGTGTACTATTTATGTTAAGCAAAATATCGATTTTTTTTTAATTTTTAACACCCTGTAGATCAGAAAGGGAGTACTTTAGACCCAATGGTTATATAAAAATTGTTTTAAGAACACATGAGGAATCACACCACAATTTTTTAGACTAATTAGGAAACACCCTGTATATTGTCAACTTGACAATGATTGTCGATAAATCAAAAAATACCTTTTCTGTGAAAAAAGCCCGATTTTCGCAGGAAAAATTTTGGTTTTTATTGAATTTGGGCCTGCGTCTGCAAATACCCGGTATGTTGTTTAATATTCTGTCTATCTAAATTTTAAATATCATAGTCAGAAATAGTTTTATTATTTATTAACTGTAAAAATGGTATACTTATAGGTTTTATCAAATATTGTGATTTACTTTCTACCTTGTAGTCAAAATTTATATTTAATAAACTGTAAAATATATATATATATATATATATATATATATATATATATATATATATATATATATATATATATATATATATATATATATATATATATATATATATATATATATATATATTATGTTTTATTAAAGTTACTCTGATATACTAATATATCAGTGTAACTAAATCCTTTGAAATCAAATATAAACATAAAAAATATTTACAGCAGAAAAGGCGAAGGCGCTGGGTTAAACGTAGTCTCTACTAAGAACACGGAGGGGCGCTTTGACCCAAAATTTTACTATTAAGTTTCATATCTATCTTAATAGAAGATTATTTTCTTTTATCTATGGTCATATTCACGTCAAAATCAAATTTCTCATGTCAAAAAACACACAGCTACCAATTTTAATTCAAATATTGACGTTATTTCAAAAATTATTTGGAAAAAATCGAAATAAAAATGAAACTTACTTATTTCTATCTGCAAAAGTTGCCGGAATACACCACCCTGTATACACATGTATTATGAAGAACATTGTTATTCTTGTTCTTATTACTATTATATGCCGCGTAAAACGAGAGAATTTTGTATTCTGAAATTCGACAACAGTGTAGCACATTTACCATTTTCTTAAGTAAATTTTCTTCAATTTATGTTCTACCAACATCAAAATTCGACTTGACCCAATCACCAACACTCATTTCACTCTCATTTCCTCCAAAAATACCAGAGCCCCAGGGCGCCCCCTGAAGTCCCTTTAATTAAACCTAAACGACACTGCCGCCATCCAGAGTGCCCCTTTAATACTACGTTCGTCTGCAGGGGCACAAAGGGGGACGCAGAGGACAGGGGGGATCTATCTCTCGGACGATTAAGGACCTGTCAAAAACAGAGAAATTCATTTTTTTCCCGCTTTCGTTCAGTTCGGACGCTCTCCCTCTCCCTCTCTCTGTCTATTTCCGCCGTTCTCCTCTTTTAATTCCTTTTTTATCAGTTGGACCCGTATTCATCTGGCTCTGGAGTTTTTCCCGAAATTTTTTCCATTATTATTTTTCGGAAAGGCACTGAACAAAAATGCGGGATAGGGTGAGAGATGCAGAACGATTTGAGGAATGGGGGAATGACAGGGATAATCTGGCTGTTTTTTTTTGTTCTGTGCCTTCGTTTTTGGAGGTTTTAAAGTTTACTTTTTCCCAACGGCTTTTTTTCTATACCAGATTTTTTATTTTAATTGATTGAAATAAGAATACGTAACTTTGGAACCTTGGGCTCAGTCAAATTGGACAAATAACTGGCTATTCCTCGAAGGTTACACAAGAATATTTAGTTTTAATCAGGGTTGGCATGATTTAAATCATTTGGTTTTTTAAATTTTAATCATGTGATTTAAATCAAAAAGAAAATTATTGAAACTTTATACTAAATCAAAATATAACTGTAAAATTTATAAAACTGTGTCCTAGAAAACTAGAAAAAAATTTTCTATAACAGATAATAAATCGAAAAATAATTGTAAATGTTATAAAACTATATAAAAATAAAGAAGAAAAATATTAAACGGCTCAGCCCTCAACAACTCGTAACCGTATACACCAGTGTACACCAGTGCTTTTCAAACCAAACCACGCACACTCACACACTCACACAACCACACACCTATACTAGTGCACACTGATGTTACTGCCTTCAGGCTTCATCAGTACGGTAAGGAACCAGGAAGCGATGAAACCGATCCCAAAACACAAAAAACCAGGAAGCAAACGATGCAACGAGGCACCGTGTGCAACCCAGGAGATGGAAAAAAAATTGATGAAGAAACGAAAATAAATGATGGAAAATAAAAGGAGCAAACGGGAGCCTAAAGCCCCAATTTGCAGCCAAGAACCAGAGTCGCCCAGGATTGTGGGCTTCGTCCAGAACAGCCGCGGAGGTAGCCAACAGCAACCCGCCGCAATACCCTTAGCCGTGGTACCAATATGAACAAGAACTTTCATACATTTTATATATGTTCATATATAAAAATATCTATTCATCGATTTAAATGTTGGACCGATTTTTCAACTAATTTCGTGTGAATTCATTATGACCGCTAAACGCAAGGATTTATATTAAAATTTATGTATAAGTGACAAAAATTCGCTGTTCGAGTTCGAATACATATCATTCGCAAAGTCTAGTGCCAGAACTAGGTTCTTATGATATAGAGACTATATATATCTTCATTCCCGAGAATCTATAATCGTTGTCAGAAAACGAAATGTTTTATATTTTTTTTGAAACGGTTGTATGTTTCCAAATTCCTGCCGACATTTTGATCTGCAGTAAGTACTTTACACTTTGACATTAGATGATACATACTAATTTCATTCTGGACTTAAGACTATTTCCGAACAATAGTGTATTGTGACCTTTGAAGGACCATCGTAAAGCTATTCCGACGTTACAGGGAGGCACAAAAAGTACATTTTTACTCGGAATAGAACATACTATTTCTTTTAAAACATTACAAATATTTTTTTAATCAATTTCAAACACAAATCATTATAAGTACATGATTGAGTTCCAGTATTACTCATCAAGCAATACTACTCTTATATTAATCAATTAAGGCCGTAAACAAACACATCATATACAATTTCATATACTAATTCATTATAATAAAATTAAATCATAAAAATATTGTAATTATATTCCTGCAGTTTAAGTGAAAAATTTTGTTTCTAAATATCTACTATACTATAATAAACGCGTATTCAAATATTAATTCTGTGGAATATATATCAATATACGAGGGATGGTCCGAAAAATTTCCGACCTCAACGCAAAGATGGCAGCACTCGTAGATAAAAGCTAGTGACTTTTCATTGTTCATCACAATTATTCACCAAAGTTTCGGCCATTTTGGATGCGCAGTTGTTATGTAACAGTTGTTTGAGTGAGTTGATGTCAGTGTTTTTGTGAAAATGGACAAAATCGAGTATCGAGCTGTCATTAAATATCTGGTTTTGAAAGGCAATATGTATGGGGACTCTGCACCATCATTTATCACAGTGAAATTTTTGGCAGCTGAATTTAAACGTGGTCGTAAGAGCTTGGGAGACGATGAACGTTCGGGACGTCCAAAAACTGCAACTACCGACGATAACATCGCCAAAGTTCACCAAATAGTGCTAGACGACCGCCGAATTAAAGTGAGAGGGATAGCAGAGGTTATGAACATATCAAAAGAACGTGTTTGTCACATATTAAATCAAGATTTAGGCATGAGAAAGATGTCCGTGCGCGCGTTGGGTGCCGCGTTTGCTCACGTTAGACCAAAAGCGTGTTCGTATGAACATTTCCAACGCTTATGTTGGCGCAGTTTAGGCGCAATAAATCCGAGTTTTGGCATCGATTAATTACTGTAGATTTAAGTTGGATACACCGTTATACACCAGAAACAAAAATACAGTCCAAACAGTGGACGGCAAAGGGGGAACCGGCTCCAAAAAAAGCAAAAACTCTTATTTCGGCTGGGAAAGTGATGGCGACTGTTTTTTGGGATAGTCATAGAGTTATTTTAATTGATTATCTTCAAAAAGGAAAAACCATCACAGGAGCATATTACGCATCATTACTTGACAAGCTAAAAGCAGAATTTACGGAAAAACGGCCACATTTACAGAAAAAGAAAATCCTGTTTCGCCAAGATAACGCACCGTCTCACACCTCAGCGGTTGCCATGGCGAAAATCCACGAATTTCGGTTTGAACTGCTTGATCATCCGCCTTACTCACCAGATCTAGCCCCTAGCGACTTCTTTTTGTTCCCTCATTTAAAAATTGCGCTCGAAGGACAGAGATTTTCGTCAAATGAAGAGGCAATCATCTTCGTGAACCACTATTTTGCAGAGAAAAATGCCGAGTACTATTTGGACGGGTTACAGAGATGGGAGCATCGCTGGGAAAAGTGTGTAGAGTTACAAGGGGACTATGTTGTATCTTTGTTAGGTCGCAAAACTTTTCAAACCACCCTCGTAGCATAAAACCAGATGTAATTAACGAAATATCATCGTAACAACAGCTATTTTAGAAACGTCTAGGTTTACTTATTTCACTGAGATTTATGAAAAAAGTCCTTTGTCTCGGGTACAGATACCGCTATATTTTGGAAATAGCTCAAAACAAAACAAAATTGAACGAGGCAACAAAAAACGCCAAAAAAAATCCCTCCTCACGAGTAGTTTTCAGGCGCTTTTAAGAATCGAAAGTAGGTCGAGGCAGACCGAAGTGGGCCAAGAAAACTGGAAATAAATCGAAATGCGACCGACATGTTTCGAAGAGTTTTTCGCATAGTGTAGACGCTGTTTAATATTTTAAATAGTTTTGTTCTTTATTCTTCGTATTTTTTTTTGCTTCCGACGACGGAAAGAGATAAACTTTCCGAAACGTTAAGCATTTTTTTGTTCGTTAGACAAATTTGTTTATCAGTAAACCTAACTTCTGACAAGTAGTTTCCGTTTGTATTAACGCCAGAAGTGTTTACAAAAAATAACTATTTTATTTTGTACATTTTCTTGCAGTGGCGAAATACCCATATAAGATTTTTTTAAATGCAAAGACTTAACCATAAATTCTTGTCAAAAAAATGTAAGTTATATTTTTAGCCATTCTTCCTACCGTTCATAATAACTATAAACGGCAATTGACCCTCGAAGATTGCATTTTTTACCCATCCCGCCTCATAATACCAACCTTATGTCCCTCCATACTGAAGAGAGGGCTCAAAGAAGCGTCCTCCCTTATTTCCAACGATCCAATTTCCCAATCTTGCTTCAGAACACCGAGCCGTTCCCTCTAAACGACTTGGGGCTCGTGAAGCGGTAAATATGCCCATATCGGAGGTGTAAAACAAAATTATAATAACCTTTTCAAAAGTTTTTTTCGCGCGCGCTGTCGTTAGATGGGGTCGTCTGCTGACAATAAAGCGGGGGATTCACCAACGCCTCCTTAAAGTATCAGGCTTTAAGTGTTCCGTGTGATGTATAAGTAGTGTCCCAAAGAAATAAAAAATAAGAATAAGATACAGAGTGTCCCAAATAAATAAAAAATATCAAAGTTGTATTTTTTTAAATAGAACACCCTGTATATTTTTACATTTTTAGTTTCTACGATTAAAATAAAGGTAAATTTGATAAAGGTTTATTACACTTAAACCTTACCGTTTTTGAAATATTTTCAATTTTGTGAAATTGCAGTCAAAATTTTAAAGCTTCATTTCTCCAAGGGTATCAAAGTTTTTAATACTAAATATTTACTGAAGTTTATTTATTGATCAGTTATTGTGTTGCAATAATAAAAATTATACTACCTTATACAGAATGTCTAAAATTTTATTTTAAATAATTACTAGCTTTAAACGGCAATAACTTATTTAATTTAAATAGAATACCCTGTATATTTTATGAGAATCAGATGCACAATTTAATTGTCTATCAAATTGTATTATACCATTTTTTACCTATCTCTTCAAGTTTCCGTAGAAAATGCATTTTCTTGTAATTTAGAACTCATTTATCAATATACCCATGGAATACTGACATTTTAGATTATTTTTAAAGATGCACCAAATTTTTAAAGAGTACAGGTATTAATATTGTCGATATAGTTTGTTTATTTCATTAAAAAAAAAAAAAAAAACTATTTAAATATTTGTTAAAGAGGACCAATTAATATGATTCCAGTATTCAAACTACATTAACTGACTGTTTGCGTTGATTAATAATAATTGCTCCAAATACTAAAAAACTGAATTTTGTATGTGTATTAGACAGTAAGATAAAAAATAACACCTTAAAAATGATATTTATTTTATTATTTTATATAACAGAGACATTCATTTTCATAACTTATTATTATATTGACTTCTGACTCAAATCCACATTTATTTGAAATAATTTATTAACGAACATAATTAAGTATGTAATTAATTAGTATTTGAGCGGAAATAATGGTGGAATATTTAATTAATGGTATACTCTTTTGTATAGATTTAAATAATTTTCTTTGTGCATACAAATGGGCTAGTAATATTATCATTTTGCTAAAAACGATAATATTACTAACCTATTTTGTAGATTTGTTGCTTTAAAAACAATCTAAAATGTCAATATTCCATGGGTATATTGATAAATGAGGTCTAAATTATAAGAAAATGAATTTTCTACGAAAACTTGAGGGGATAGATAAAAAGGGTATAATACAATTTGATAGACAATTAAATTGTGCATCTGATTCTCCTAAAATATACAGGGCGTTCCGTTTAAATTAAACAAGTTATTGCCGATTAAAGCTAGAAATAATTTAAAATAAATTTTTAGACACTCTGTATGAGGTAGTATTATTTTTATTATTGCAACAAAATATCTGATCAATAAATAGATTTCAGTAAATATTTAGCATTAAAAACTTTGATACCCTTGGAGAAATGAAGCCTTAAAATTTTGACTGCAATTTCACAAAACTGAAAATATTTCAAAAACGGTAAGGTTTAAGTGCAATAAACCTTAATCAAAATTACCTTTATTTTAATCGTAGAAACTAAAAATGTAATAATATACAGGGTGTTCCATTTAAAAAAATACAACTTTTATATTTTTTATTTATTTGGGAGGCTCTGTATCTTGTAAAATTTTTTTTAAATTGTAGGTCTAATAGTCCTTCAACGAACCCAAAACTTACAATTTGTAAAAATCTAATCATTTAGATACAATACTCCGTGTCGTATGTGGTGAACAACCCTGTATACAAAATAATAAGATCGAATGTGTAAGAGAATATATATCTTCAGGCCACCGTATTAGACTTGGAAAAGAAAACCAACACGCAGAAATTACAAGGCGTATACGATTAGCATGGATAGCCTTCGGTAAAATGGGACATATTCTGAAAAACAATACGATCCCTATCAATCTGAAGCAAAAAGTATATAACACCTGTATTCTGCCTGTGCAAACATACGGACTTAACAACTCGAAGAGCTATGGAGCGATGTATGCTAGGGGTCTGTCTGCGAGACAAAATTCGTAATGAAAGCATCAGGGGGTAAATAAGAGTTACCGATATAATTCAGAATTCGGGAAGTGGCAAAAATGAAATGGCAATGGGCTGGCCATGTTGCTAGACTGGATAAAGACAGATGGACACATATAATAACAGTGTGGAGGCCTAAACAAACTAAAAGAAGTGTGGGACGTCCACAGAAACGTTGGGCGGACGACATTAGGGAAATGGAAGGTTCTGAAAAGGATAGGAGCTAAGGATAACCTAACTCTTATCCCTTTGCCTGCAGGTCCTAGTATTCAAGGTGGCATTGGATACACCGTCGATGACTCCGCTGCTTCTTTTCTATACACGGCCCGGTATAGTGGCGTTCATGTGATAAGCAGTTACTTTTCATTTTGATGCGGTGACATCGCTCAGGGTTTAAAGCGGCCCTTTGCGTGCCGATCGTCGTCGGGTTTATTATTATTTCATGCCCTGGCAAATTATACGACGTCGTACGTAGGGGAAGGCGAGGTAGGTCGGTCGCGCGCCGTGTAGGGGAAGGTGGGGCTGGAGAATACAAGCGATAAGATCTGGGATGTTGCGCTGCGAGGAGGGGAGGAATGGTAATTGTTTTTGTATGCCGATGTCGGTGAGTGTTTGATGTTCTTAAGGGATTTTTGTTTTATATCTTTTTTCCATTGCAACTGTTAAAATTGCCTTATATGTATCAAAAATAGTAGATAAAATAGTACTTTAACCGCAAGGGATACTTTTAACAGCGAGGATAGGTTAAAAACTTTATTTATTCTAGCACGTTTTTTAATTACTTACCATTTTTGAAAATTTTTGTATTCCTTTTCATAAGTTATTCGGGATTTAAATGGAAGTAGTTTGGATACGGCGTTTGTCGCCTCAGCCTGAATATTTGTTGGTAATTTACTTATTTCGTTTTGAGCCATTCCTGGCTCCAATTCAATCAGCAATCGACACGAAAGAGAATTAAAAAATATTGACTCAAAACTGACAACTAAAGAGACAGCTTTATTTATTTGTTAAATTACATAGAAACCAGCGCCAACCCAGCACAATATTGTTTCTACTCTTAATAAATTCCTTGAAATAATAATTTCTGAATATTTTTTAAAACGTAACTCGCTATGGAAAAGAATATTGTTTTATACACGACGATAAAATTGCATTATCGTTCCCCGAAATTAATCTTTTCGGTCGACTATAGAATACCATTTGTGTGTATAAAAAATAACTATTAGACGTCGTTTAAACTTGTCAAAAATTAAGACTTATAGAAAGATTTTTCTCGAATTTTAACCTGGCAGTAGAAGTTCAATTTTAGTTTTTACTATTTTTCTAAT